CAAGGCTCCTTCGACCCCCAGAGCATCCCCAGAGTGTCCCCAAGGTGTCCCCAGTGAGCATGGAGCTCCAAGAGGTGGGACAGGGGGACAGACAGTGTGGGGGGAGGGAACACAGAGCAGTGGGAGCAATGGGCAATGGAGGGGACATGGGGGTGGCAAGAGGGCACAGGGGATCGCAAAGGGGGAGGGGACAGAGGGATGGAGGACAAAGCATGGGGAGGGGGCAGTTGTGGATGAGGGGGACATGGGGTGGGTGGACATGGGAGCTGGCAGGGGGTGGCAGAAGGAACCACAGAGGGAAGCAGGTGCTATGAGTGTGGTGATCGGGGGTGGCAGAGGGTACAAGGGGGTGACAAATAGACAGTGGGGACAGCAGAGCCCTTAAGGGAGCGGACAAGGGGGACCCCGGGAGAGAACTGAGGCCACCACAGGAGGCCATTAGTGCCACCAGGTCCCTGACACCTCCTTGTCCCCTCCCAAGCTGTCTCCGGCCCTGCTGCAGCCAGAGGTCACTGCCGTGGCCATCCTGGGTGAGCTGCTGGCCAGTCTGCCCAGGTGGGATGAGGAGATGAATCTGCACGTCCCAAAGTGCCTGTATTGGGACCTGAAGAATTTCACCAGCCACCTTTGCTTCACCTTGTACTGCACTGATAACACTTGGTGGCGCCACAGTGTCACCTCTGGTGATGATGACCCTGTCACCTCCCTCAGCCGGGCCCTGGCTGCCTGTGAGAGCACCCGAGGGACCACCTGGGACAATGTGATAAAGGCGGCCAGCAAGTGGCAGCGGTCAGTGTCTATGCATGTGAACAGATGGGCTGAGCTGGCCAGGACAGCCACCAAGCTTCGCAACGCCTGCAGGGAGGTGGTCACTGAGGCGGCCGACAGGGAGGCCTCAGCCAGGGCCTGGGCGAGGGACTTGCAGGCCTTGGCTGCCCGTGATGGGACAGTTCAGGAAAACATGGTGGAACTGGGTGAGGCCCTGGTCAGGGAGGAGGGGGCCAAGGTGGAGGACAGGTATGAAACCCAGGTGAGGAGAGAGGCCA